CCAGGGTCACGGCCAAGACGGGCTGGATCACTACGATCGCTGGCCCCACTACTCAGGACAGGTCCCGGCTTCAGGTCATGTCGTGCAAGCTCGGGATCCGCATCCTGGAGGCTTTGCCCTGGGACTCTGGCTCGGCTCCGGCCCCTGCGGGGCCGGCGGCGCGGCGGCCGGCTGCTGCTGGCCCAGGCAACACTCCGCCCTCGAAGCGGCGGCCCGCTCCTCCTCCTCCTCCCCCTCCTCCTCCTGAACCAGCTCAGGTGGAGGCGTTTACCGGGGACTTCGTGACTGCTCCGGCCCCGCGCGGACAGGCGGCTAGGCGACCGGCGGCTGCCGGCAGCGCTCCGCCGTCGAAGCGGCGACGGGCGCCACCTCCTCCTCGCCCCCCTCCTGACCCGGCTCAGGTGGACGCGGCGGTGGGGGGCGCGGCGAGGCTCCAGACGGCCATCTTGACGACCAAGACTCCGATGACGATCATCCCCCACCCCTTCCCCGGGTTGGTGGTGCGGTGGTGTGTGGTGCGGCGCCTTGCACGCTGCAGAGCCGAACGCGGGAGCTCTCTCCCGCTTCCCCGACGCCCGGCCGCCGCTCCCGGCGGAGGGTGGAGTCCTTACCGGAGAGGTCTCGGCGCCGGCCTCGTCCCACCTCCTCCCCTCCCTCTCCCCGCCGGACTCGGAAGCGAGCTGGTTAGGCTGAATTGGCGACACTTTTTGGCTGTGGTCCTTCACCACTTCTTCTGCCTCCGGCCAGATGTGGCTTAAGGCGACGTCTGGCCGGCATTTTCTACACCTCTAACTACTTTCTCGGCCTCCGGCCGAGGGCGTCCACGGCAAAGGCACCGTGTCGCCAACATCCACAACAACCGGAAGAGACCGCGAGATGGTGGGGCTGAAACGCGTGGGGCCGGAGGCTCGCGACGGAGGCTTTTCGCTATTCTCGCCCTCTGGAGATCCTCGCCGGGCCTCGGGGCCCTAGAGGGCACAAAAGGCAGAAAACGCGCCTCTCATGTTACGTGTACCCAGACCCCCTCGCGTGGTGAACAACACGCGACGGCTGGGCCTCGGGGCCGTCAGAAAACGACTCGGGATGAACAACCGGCCCCGGGGAAGGGGTCCAGACCTCTGGGGGTCGACGCCGTGACAAAAATCACGGCGTCGGGGGTCTGTGAGTTCGCGCCGCATCTCCGATGGAACTCTGAGCACAAAACACAACAGGTCGGGGAGCGAGCAGGGCGAACCTCCTAGAACTCCGACCTATACCGTACATCTATGTATATGTATACTTGTGTTCAGATGTCTATGTTTCATTTTTATATACGTGCGCATAGACATCAGTCCCCAGACAATACTTGCACTTAGGGTTCCTCCTTTCTTGTCTGAGGAACGGGGGGTTCTTCTTGTTTCCCCCCCCCCGAGGAACTTGACTTCAGTGCCTGACCCGCCGCTTTGTGGCTGACCTCGATCCCCTTCGCCGCCTCGTCGCTGGCCGTCGCCTGGGCTCCAGTGCTGGGTCCGCCGTCTCGTGGTCGCCGCCGCCGCCTCGTCGCCGCCCGCCGCTTGGGCCACATCTGTTGCCCAACATCGATTCTCCTTTCTCTGGCCATCGCTCAGACGTCCATTCCCTGTGTTTTTTTCGGTTTCGTGTATGGGTTTTTTCGCCAAATGATCAAGGATGCTCCTCGATGGTCCTCGCCGAAGGAAAAATGCACACGTCCGAGCGATGCCAAGTTCTTAAACAGAATTCGGATCTACCTCCAACCCACCCCGGGGTTATCCACCCCCTTTTCGTATTGCAATCTACATACGCCTCTGCCCCATCGTCCATCCGAAATATGAACTCATACCATCACAGCCGGGCCGGTATGGCTCGCCCCCGCCATCCCTTTGCAAAACAACTGTGCGCGCGCACTCGTTCATCACAAAGCATAGGTTCTCCATAAGCCAGACAGAACGAAGTGCACGCGCGCGCGCGTCGTCGCGCGCGCATGCCCAAGCCCTTCAAGAGCATTGGGCTTCGCAGAGAGTTCAGGAACGACAGTCCAAACAACACACAACAGCACAAGCCTTCAGAGCCCTTCAAAAAACATAACAACTGTCCAAACCAATTGAGTCGCCCGAGCCCTTCAAAAACATTGGGTCGCGCAAGAACGACTGTCCAAACAACACACAGCAGCACACGCCCCTTCGCTGCAGCCCTCGCGCGCCCCCCCCCCATTCCCAGACTCCCGCGGTGCGTGCTTTTTTCGCAGCGCCGACCCCCAGAGGTCTCGACCTCTACAGGGGGAATATTCAAAAATAGTTGTTTTCTTTTTCTTATATCAACAAAACATAGTCTGGGGACGATTTTTCGACCATGTTTGAGCCATGTTGGAGCATTTATTAAATATTTTTGAGTTTTCGCCCAAGATCCCCCTGTAGGGGGACATGCCCGACCTAATTCTTATCTCGAGCCGTTTTTTGTCGCGCCCGAGGCCCGGGAAGGGCCCCTGGCGGCCGAGCAGAGCGAAAAACCTCCCGTCGTGATTTTTTTCCAGAGCGCGAGGAGGCCTGAGTTACTTGTAATCGGCCCCTAAAGGTCTGGATCCTTTCCCCGGGACCGGCTTTTCAGCCTGAATAGTTTTTCCACGGGGTCCCGAGGCTCGGGAAGGACTCCCGGAGGCCGAAAATAGAGCGAAAAACTTGCCGTCGTGATTTTGTTTCCACAACGCGGGGGGGTCTGGGGATGGGACCAAATCCACTCTATACCCAGACCTCCTCGCGTCGCGACAAAAAAAGATCCGCCAGCCCCCTTGTGGGGCCACCAGGCTGCGAGGCGCGTGATTCGCAGTTTCCTGTGCCAGTTGTAGTTTGTAGTTTCCAGTGTTACAGTTCTGCTTCTTGCTGGTTACTGTAACTAGTTGACTTCTTGCTGGTTACTGTAACTAGTTGATTGACCGCGCGAGGGGGGGGGAGGCCCAAACGGGATTTTTAGCACCCCCTGGGCGCGTTGTCTGAATTGCTGGGGGGGCTCGAAATCGACACCCCTCACGCAGATCCGCGGGGTCAGGGTCCAAAAACACACGGGATTTGCCACATTTCTGAAATTCGGTGCCACCCCTCACGCAGATCCGCGGGGTCAGGGTCCAAAAACACAGGGGATTTGCCACATTTCTGAAATTCGGTGCCACCCCTCACGCAGATCCGCGGGGTCAGGGTCCAAAAACACATGGGATTTGCCACATTTCTGAAATTCGGTGCCACCCCTCACGCAGATCCGCGGGGTCAGGGTCCAAAAACACATGGGATTTGCCACATTTCTGAAATTCGGTGCCACCCCTCACGCAGATCCGCGGGGTCAGGGTCCAAAAACACATGAGATTTGCCACATTTCTGAAATTCGGTGCCACCCCTCACGCAGATCCGCGGGGTCAGGGTCCAAAAACACAGGGGATTTGCCACATTTCTGAAATTCGGTGCCACCCCTCACGCAGATCCGCGGGGTCAGGGTCCAAAAACACAAGGGATTTGCCACATTTCTGAAATTCGAACCCATCACGCACATCCATCGCAAGGCGTGGTAACCCAAACTGCGAGGACTCCCTCGGCCCTTTAATCGCAAGGTGTGGTAACCAAGCCCGTACACCATACACGTCTTACCAATCGCCAGGTGTGGTAACCCCTCTTATGATCAGTTGGTTTTGCTGATTGCGTTCGGCTTCGCATGAAGTTTCGATACTGCTTCACAACAGCGCCAAGGCCTCATGACTTAGCTCTTCCATGGCCCATTCTCCGAGAGAGGGGGCCGGCGGCAGGGGGCGAAGTCCTTACGGATCACGACGGGAGGTTTTTCGCTCTGCTCGGCCTCCGGGGGCCCTTCCCGGGCCTCGGGCGCGTCACAAAACGGCTCGGGATAAGAATTAGGTCGGGCCTGTCCCCCTACAGGGGAATTTTGGGCGAAAACTCAAAAATATTTAAGTAATAAATGCTCCAACATAGCTCAAACATGGTCGAAAAATCGTCCCCAGACTATTCTTGTACTATTTTTGAATGTTCCCCCTGAGGAGGGACAGGCCCGACTTAAGATCAGAAGCCGGTCCCGAAGAAGGGATCGAGACCTCTGGGGGTCGGCGCTGCGAAAAAATAACGACCCACGGGGGTCTGGGCATATCGGCCCCCGGACCTCTCCCGGGCTCCATCTGGTGCAGATGTTCACCCCGGGCCCGTTTCTGACGGTCCTGAGGCCCGAAAGCGCCTCCCCTTTGAGATTTGACGCTCTCAAAAAATAGGAGCGGCGGGATTTGGGGGCCCCCGCCGGGCCTCGGGAGCGCCAAGAAACGACTCAGGACGAGAAACGGGTCCTGGGGAAATGGTCCGGACCTCCGGGGCTCACGCATCGAAAAAATTGAAGCAATTTGGGGAGTTCTGGACCTTTTCCCTTGCCCTGACTCCGTATCCGCCGTACTTTGGGGGAATTCGTAAGTAGGGCTGGGATTTCCGCCTTACTTTTCAAGCCCCGCGGATGCCAATTTCCGCCCTACTTTTCTGTTGCTGTTTCCGCCCTACTTCTGCGGATTTCCGCCCTACTTTATGTTGGGTGCAGAATTTTCCGCCCTACTTTTGGGGCTTCTAGGTGGATTTCCGACGCAATTTTAAGTAGGAAAAAAAGCCAACGTAGGGCGGATCTGGAGTCAGGGTGGACCGGCTTTTCAGCCTGAATCGTTTTTCGACGGGATCCCGAGGCCAGTAAGGGCCCCCGGAGGCCGAAAATAGAGCGAAAGACTTTCCGTCTGGGGATGGGGATCCGCTCATCGGCCACTGGACCTCTCCCAGGGTCCCTCCATGCTTCTGAGGCTGTAGGAATCTCAAGGAACCCCAAAAAGGAATCCTCGGGAATCGGGCGGGCAGGCCGCCGAGAGGGCCGCCCCATTGCTGAGGACTCCTCTTTGGGTTCCTTCAGATTCTCCCTCCTCCTCCTCCTCCTCCTCCTCCTCCTCCTCCTCCTCCTCCTCCCTCCCGTCCCCCCCACTACTGCTGCGGGGCCACTCGCCGCAGGACCGGGGGCAGCTTCTTGGTCGGCCCGGGGAAGGGCACCTGCTGCATGCCAGCGAACACCTCGGGCGCTGCTCCGTGGAGGGGGGGGGAAGGGGGCGATAGGGGGCGAGGGGGGGGGGAAATCCCAGACCTCCCCGCGTCGTGGTAAAAATCGCGAAGGGAGGCGGCTTTTTGCTACGGTGGGGGCACTGGATAAGGAAGCCTCAGATGAGGAGTCCGGGGCCTGGAGGCCGGTAGAAGTCCCCTCGAGGCTCGGCCATGATAATATCACCACCGCCCTCATCAGATGAGGAGCCCTCCAGAGCCTGCAGCCTCATGGGCGCATTCGTTAACCAACGCCCCCACCGTCTCGCCATCGCTCGGACGTCTATTCCCTGTGCATTCTTCGATTTCGTGCGTGTATTTTTTCGTACAGGTGACCCCACGATGCTCCTCGATGGCCCCCGCCGAGAGAAGAATGCACACGTCCGAGCGACCTTCCCGGGCCGCGGGGGCCCCCCAAGAACGACTCGGGATGCACAGCCGGTCCCGGGGAAAGAGGGTGTCGAGGAGGGAGGAGGGAGGAGGGAGGAGGGAGGAGGGAGGGAGGAGGGAGGAGGAGGAGGAGGAGGAGGAGGAGGAGGAGGAGGAGGGAGGAGGGAGGAGGAGGGAGGAGGGAGGAGGGAGGAGGAGGAGGAGGAGGAGGAGGAGGAGGAGGAGGAGGACGCTGTGAGCAAAAATGGCAGAACGTCGGAGGCCCGGAAGCGCGCCTCGCTCGGGCCCCGCGTGGGGCCCCAGGGGGGGGCCCCTCTAGCGGGCACAGGAGGCAGAAAGTGCGCCTCTCTTCGCATAGTGCGCCCCCATAGAGGGCGGTGGCGTGGGAACGCAGAGGATGGGGCTCCAGTCCCAGGCCCCCTCGCGTCGTGGAAAAATCACGACGGGAGGCTTTTCGCTATTCTCGCCCTCTGGAGATCCTCGCCGGGCCTCGGGGCCCTAGTGGGCACAAAAGGCAGAAAACGCGCCTCTCGTGTTACGTGTGCCCAGACCCCCTCGCGCGGTGAACAGCACGCGACGGGAGGTTTTTCGCTGGTTCCGGCCTCTGGGGGCCCTCCCTGGGCCTCGGGGCCGTCAGAGAACGGCTCAGGATGAAAAACCAGTCCTGGGGAAAGGGTCCAGACTTCAAATGGGGGGCGACGCTGTGACAAAGTCACGACGTCGGGGGTCTGGGCAACAGCGCACTTAGACATCATCGCCCCCCGATCCCAGACATCCGCTGCTCCAATTTTTGTTGGAGCGTGGACCCCGGAGGTCCCGACCTCTTCCCCGGGGCCCGTTTTTCGTCCTGAATCGTTTTTTGACGCTCCCGAGGCCCGGCGAGGGCCCCTGGAGGCCGAGAACGGCCCAAATCCGCCTGCTTCAATTTTTGGGGAGCGTCGGATCTCAGGGTTTAGACATCATCGCCCCCCGATTGCGCAACGCCCCGGCACCGCGGGCTTGAAGCACTCCGGGACCCCGTGGCCCATCACGGGGCTGTTCTGGTAGCGGTGGACGTTCGCCGCCAGGCCCTGCGTCCGGGCCAGGGATGCCGCGCAGACCTTCGGGGACGCCGCGTCGACGCCCCAGCAGTGCTGACCGTCGAACTTCTCGATCAGGTGCCGCGCCCGCGCCCCGTCGACCAGGTTCACGAAGCAGTAGCCCATGCACAGGGGAACGAACAATGACATAAACGTAGAGACTCGGAGGTCCGCGCGGATTTCTCGGATCGGCGCTGGACCGCCCTGGCGGCGCCTCCGGCGCCGCCCCCGGCGCGCTCGCGCCAGGGAGGGGGGTCCAGCGCGGATCCAAGAAATCCGCGCGGACCTCCAAGTCTTTATGTCTATGTCCCCTGAGATCCGATGTTGTGATTTTTTCAATGAGGGCCCCCCGGAAGTCTCGACCCATTCCCCAGGACCGGTTTGACATCCTGAGTCGTTTTTTGACGGTCCCGAGGCCCGGCGAGGGCCCCTAGAGACCGAAAACTGCGAAAAACGTCCGTCTTGATTTGTTCAATGCGTCGGATCTCTGGGTAATTTTTCGTTCCACTACATGCACGCCTTGCTCTTGAAGTCCATGGGTACGTAGACAAAACCCGCCGCCGTGCCAGCACGGCACGGCAGCTTTGCGGCGTGCTGGAGCGCCAGTTGGCAGTCTAGACGGGCTTCTGTCGCTGACCACCTGCTTACCTCCTCCTCCTCCTCCTCCACCTCCTCCTCCACCTCCTCTTCCTTCTCGTCCTCCTCCTCCTCCTCCTCCTCCTCCACTCCTCTTCTTTCTCCTCCTCCTCCTCCTGCTCCTGCTCCTCCTGCTCCTGCTCCTCCTCCTCCTCCTCCTCCTCCTCCTCCTCCTCCTCCAGACCTCCGACGCTGCGATTTGTTCACAACTTTGGAGTTCCGAAACGGTGCAGTGACAGACCGTGTGGTGACCTCGGAACCCCAAGAGACCTGACCGCACGGTCCGTCAACGCACGGCTTTGGGACCCTAAAAGCCCCTGTCGCCCGAGACGTCCTCGGAAAACGACCCGAGTCCCAAAACCGTGCGGTGACCCCGAATCCCCACCAACTCACCGCACGGTGTGGGCACTACCACGTTTGGGGGCCCCCGAACGACGTCGACCCCCAGAGGTCTGGACCCCTTCCCCAGGACCGGTTTCTTATCCCGAGCCGTTTTTTGACGGCCGCGAGGCCCAGGAAGGGCCCAGGAAGGGCCCCCGGAGGCCGAGAATAGCGAAAAACCTCCCGTCGTGACTTTTTAACAGCGCGAGGAGGTCTGGGTTCGCCGCGTCCCACCCTGGCCGCGTTGCCCCCTGGCACTCTGCACGAACGGGCCCAACATGGTCCGGACCCCATGGCCCAAGGCGGCCCCCCACGGCCTACCCGAAAGGATCCCGAGGACGAGCTATGGGACATCTCCATGACGCCACGGGTGGCGCGCCCAGCGGCTTGCTCAGAAAGGGACATTTCCAGAAGACCCCAAGGAGCCTCGAGAACCCCCAGGGGGGCATCAAGAGAGCCTCCAGCAGGGCCCTTGGGTGCCCGAAGCAAGACAGCCAGTATGGCTGGTCGGGCGTTGTTTTTGCCTGTGGTGTCAGGATCCGGCACCGTGCCGCGCGGGGCGAAGTGGAATTTTCTCCAGGCTCTCCTGTGTCATTTGCTCTCTGTGCTCGGAATTCTGGGATTATCGGAGGTGAGGGGGTGAGATCGAAATGGAACGGAGAGCCCCCCTTCCGGGAAATCGGTTTCGGTTCCGTGTTCGTGCGTGCCGTGCGTGCGGGCGAGGCGAAGCTGCGTGGGCGGGCGAGAAGAAAGTCTCCTCCGGCTGAAGCGCGGCCGGACCAAATGATTCCTGACCGGGAGCCGGTGGCGCGCGGTGTCCCGCCGGTGTCCCGCCTCCGGCTGAGGCGCGGCCGGACCAAATGATTCCTGACCAAGGGCCGGTGGCGCGCAGTGTCCCGCCGCGGTGTCCCGCCTCCGGCTGATGCGCGGCCGGACCAAATGATTCCTGACAGGGGGCCGCTGGCGCGCGGTGTCCCGCCGGTGTCCCGCCGGTGTCCCGTCGGTGTCCCGATGATGATGATGATGATGATGATGATGATGATGATGATGATGATGGTGATGATGATGATGATGATGATGAAGATGATGATGATGATGATAATGATGATGGTGATGATGATAATGATGATGATGATGATGACGTCGATGATGATGATGGTGATGATGATGATGGTGGTGATGATGATGGTGTCCCGATGATGATGGTGCCCCGATGATGATTATGATGATGATGTTGACGATGTTGATGATGATGGTGATGGTGGTGATGATGGTGTCCCGGTGATGATGATGATGATGATGATGACGTTGTTGTTGTTGATGATGATGGTGTCCCGATGATGATGATTATGTTGATGATCATGATGTTGATGATGATGATGAGATGACATGAGATGAAGATGTTGGTGTCCCGATGATAATGATGAGGTTGATGATGATGCTGTTGATGATGATGGTGATGATGATGGTGTCCCGATGGTAATGATGCTGATGATGATGACGATGGTGTCCCGATGATGATGATGTTGATGATGATGATGATGAGGTGATGATGATGGTGATGATGATGGTGGTCCGATGATGATGATCATGATGAGTGTGTCCCGATGATGATGATGGTGATGATGATGGTGTTGACGATGATGATGGTGTCCCGATGATGATGATGTTGATGATGATGATGATGTTGCTGATGATGATGATGGTGTGCCGATGATGCTGATGTTGATGTTGTTCATGATGATGAGGTGACGATGATGATGGTAGTGTTCCGATGATGATGATGGTGTCCCGATGATGATGTTGATGATGATGGTGACGATGATGGTGCCCCGATGATGATGATGATGATGGTGATGACGATGATGATGTTGATGATGATGGTGATGAGGTGATGGTGATGATGGTGTCCCGATGATGTTGATGATGATGATGATGATGACGACGTTGATGACGATGATGCTGGTGATGATGATGATGACGTTGATTGTGAGATCGATTGTGATATCGATAGTCAGATCGATAGTGAGACCGACTGTGAGATGGATAGTGAGATCGGTAGTGAGATCGATTGTGAGATCGATAATCAGATCGATTGTGAGATTGATCGAATGAAATAGATCGACTGAGATCGATTGTGAGATCGATCGAGTGAGATCGATCGAGCGAGACCGATAGTGAGATCGATAGTGAGATCGATAGTGAGACCGATCGAGTGAGACGTTGGTTCCTCCCCCCCCCGAACCTCCTTATCACCCGAAGGGTGGTCGTATACGTAGTAAAGCGCGGGCGCAGCTACAAGAAACGCTTACAAGAAACCCAACCCTGAAAACCCGCGCGCGAGGTGCACCGGAGGGGAAACCTGGAGCACCGTGAACGCAGCAGCTCTTTCAACGGCTGCGGGAAGTCACCGCGCAGCGCGCGGAACAAAGAAACCCAGGACACCCTGACGAAAAGCAAATGGTTTCTTGATGCGCGCCCCCTCTGTATGCTAAGGGCCGGGGGGCTGGGGCCCCGAAGTCTCAAATTTCCTGGACGTGCCCGCGAGTTCTTGGGCTGCCTCGCATGACTTTTCCAAAGGCCAGAAGGCCCCAAGACGGGCCAAGAGGGCCCCAGAAAGCGCCGAAGAAGGTCCAAGAGGCCTCCAAGACAGCCCAAGAGCTCTCTAAGACACCCAAGATGGCCCCGAGACGTCCCAAGAGGCCCCAAAGAAGCCCCAAGAGCGCTCCAAGTTCGATGTTTCTCGCGCTTTCGGGCTTCCGACGCTCCAAGATGGCCCCAGAGGCCCCCAAGGCCGCCCCAAGACAGCCCACGAGGCCCCCAAGAGGCCCCTGAGGACCCGCCCCAAGACGGCCCAAGACGGCCCCCGAGAAGTTCCTAAGAGGGCCTCCGAGACGGCCCGAGAGGGCCCCCAAGCGGCCCAAGAGGCGCCCAAGATCGCCCAAGAGGGCTCCAGGAGGGCCTCAAGACGGGGAGCGCGAACGGGTTTGGTTCCCCCTGGGGCTTCGGCTGAACACGCCTGCCACCCGGAAGGGACCGCAGACTGCACATTATGTCAATGCCTCTAACGCCCAAGACGGCCCCACATGGACTCCCAGGATGCCTCCAAGACGGCTAAGGTGGCCCAATATGGCCTCCAAATGGACTCTTGGATGCCTCTCAGACGCCCAAGATGGCCCCAAGTGGCCAAGATGGCCTCCAAGTCCGCCTACGACGGTCCAAGATGGCCTCCAAGACGGCCCAAGAGGGTCCAAGATGCCTCCAAGTCAGCCCAGGAAGCCACCAGGACGGCCCCAAAGGCCTCCCAAGAGGCATCCGAGGGGACCTCCAGGAAGGCCCGAAGAGGCCACACTCATTGATGTTCCTTAGGTTTTTGAAGGATTATGGCATTGGCTTCTTTTCGGCCTTCTGACGGCCCGAGGCGGCCCAAGAGCCTCCGAAAATCGCCCCAAAATCGCCCAAGAGGCCTCCAAGATGGCCCCAGAACGGCCCAAGAGGCCCCCAAGACCGCCCCAGGGTCCAAAGACGGCCCAAGAGGCCTCCAAGACGCCCAGGATGGCCTCCAAGACGGCCCTGGAGCACCCAAGAGGGTCTCCAGTCGGCCCAGTGGTGCCCCAAGACAGCTTCTGACGGCGTCAGACGGGCCAGGAGCCCACCAAGACAGCCCACGATGGTTTGAAGATGGCTCAAGATGGCCCAAGAGACCCCCAAGAGGTCTCCAAGACGGAACAGGAGGCCTCCAAGAGGGCCTCCAGGAAAGCCCGAAGAGGCCAAAATCATTGATTAGGTTTTTGAAGGGTTTGGGCACTTGCTTCTTTTCGGCCTTCCGACGGCCCGAGACGACCCAAGAGCCCCGAAAGACCACCCGAAATGCCTCCAGGATGGCCCCAGACTGGCCCAAGACGGCCCTAGAGACCTCCAAGACGTCCAAGATGGTCTCTAAGACGGCCCTGGAGCACCCCCAGAGGGTTCCAAGTCGGCCCAGGGAGGCTCCAAGACGGCCGACGGCGTCAGACGGGCCAGGAGCCCACCAAGACAACCCAAGATGGCTCTAAGATTGGTTTTGAAGGGTTTGAGCATGTGTTTCTGTTCGGCCTCCCGACGGCCCGAGACGGCCCAAGAGCCCCGAAAGGCCGCCCGAAAG